AACCATCTGCTTTGTCTTCATCAAAAAACTGTAGTGCTGGATCTGCCTCGCTGTCACCTGTGGTGAGTGACTTCTAGCCCAGTCAGGCTGTGTTTAACTTCTGTTTCTGTTAGGCCTTTGCTAGATTGGGAAGCTGTTCTCACAGTTTGGTTCCCACAGAGGTGTGCATGAACCTCGGCTTTGATAAGCTAATTAGACAGAGTTCTCTCACTGAAATGCATCTCCACAGCCTTTAATCAGCTCTGTGACTCTGCTCTTGGCTGCTCCAAATTTAAAGAGGTATTTTCTGTGCCTACCCCTCTGCCTGTTCCCCTTTCCTTGCTGTGCTCTGTGGCTTGCCTTTAAATGCCTTTGGGGGTGGAACTACCTGTGTGTTTTGTACATTATTGAGGATCTGGGAGGGCCTCTGGGTACTGCCTTAATAAATGTTAAATAATAAAGCTGAGAGGAGGGGTTGCTTTAGCAGTGTATGGGTGTACCAGTGAAGAAATGGAGAGCAGATCCTCTGAGTCTCTCCCCTGGCTTAACCAGCTGGAGTCTTGGGAGATGCTTTGCAGACCCACTGTGGCAAAATCATCCTAATTCCTTTATAGCTATATCGATGGTCAGGATCTGTGTCCCTTCGATGTTACGGGTTTTTTTCCCCCCTGAAAAATGCTGCCGCCTTCTTCTTGAAAGCTGAGAGAGATCCCCAAAGCTTACCAGGCAGAAAAGCTCAGGGAGCTCTCAAAGGATATTGCTGCTTTTCCCTCTAACCTCTTACAGTCTCTACCTTTCCTCTGTTCTTTTTTCTTTCTTTGCCAGTAAGGCGCTGTGTGCAGTCTTTTGTGAACCTTTGTGGGCCAGATTTCTCCCAGGTGCCTTTTTTCCTCCTCAGTAGCTGCAGAAGAGGCAGTGGATCTGAGGGGGAGATGCGTTTTATGATTTATGACACTTTATAAAGTGCATTTCATAGCAGGATTGACAGAGCTGGAGGCTGGAGTCCGTGGAGTTTTGGGGATGCGGAGGCAGGCAGGGGGTGGATCTGCTCCTGGCCGCTGTCCGTGTGTCATGGGCTGAGTGGGGACACCTGTGCTTGCCCAGTCCTTGCTTCCCTGCCCAAACTGCATCGGGAGCTGGGGTGGTGCCAGGAGAGCCCAGGAGCTGCCTGTGCTGGGAGCCAGAGCCATTTTACACCTCTGGCACCTCTCCAGAAGCCATGGCAGGGCTCCTGCATGTCACCGAGCTCCCTTATCAGCTGTTGCTCCAAAGCTGGGCTTATTTTGACAGCCCTTCCTCCTTGGGATGCCTGCTGATGGCAGGGGTGTCAGCACAGCCTGCAGTGTGAGGAGCAGGGCTTTGCTCCGTGTTCCTTGGCACTGGGGTGCTCTGTCAGACACTTCAAACAGGGCTCTTTCCCACGGTTTGTCTCTGCCTCTGCCCCTTTCTTGCCTGTAGCCTCAGGGCTGCAGCTCTCCAGCCATCTATTTATATGGCCCCCATTTGTCTTCGTCTCCTTGGCACTTATATGGCTCCCCTTGGCCCAGGGCCTGAGTGCCTCCCAATCTTTAATATATTTATCTTCACACGTGCAGACACACAGGCATACCTGTGAGGTCAGGAAGTACCAGTGCTGCCCTTGTACAGATGGAGGACATTAAATGGTAATTGGTAAACTGGGAGCAGGTGGTGGTGGGGATGGAGGAAGGCTGCTCTCACATGGTACAGGAAATGGCATCACAAGAAATGGTTCATAAGCCACAGTGCAGTCCTGGGAAGATGGGTCTCCCCACTCATGCATGAGTCTTGCAGCCAGTGGAATATGAGGTCCTAGTCATGTCCTATCCCTGTTTTGGCCTCTTCATTCTTCAGTCTTGTTTTAAAATATTTTTGTCCCAGTGACACAACTTCAGATGCAAAGCTTCTGTCAAATTGCCCAGCCAGGACGGGGGAGGGAGGTTGGAGTCCTCCTAGTCTGACAGTGAAGGCAAAGGATCTTTTAGTGGCAGGGTCCTTCTCTCTTGCTCACTGGGTTTACTGTTCTTGGAGGGGTGGTGGTCCCCTCTTTTCAGTGGCTGCAGGGTGGGGATGAGCCCAGCAGCACCATCAGCTCAGGATTTGCTTTGTTTCGCTGGGGCACTGGGAGCAGACTGTCTGCTGGGGTAGGAATTCCTGAATTCCTGGCAGCTGAGACACGGCCACACTGTGCCTTGGCAGTGGCTTTCCCTTAGCCTTTCCCAAAGATGGCAATGCTGCCAAGCACATCTCCAAGTGCTTTGCAAACGTGACCCATCAGCAGTGTCTTCAGCACAGAGACAAGCTCGTGGCATTTAGGGAGCTCAACCAAAACCTGCCTCCTTCTGTCCGTGATGCCTCCTCCTGTGCCCCAGGGCCAATGCCAGGCTCTGGGCACGGCCAGGGGAGAAGTCAGGTGCCTGTTTGCTGGGCCTGGGCCCGGCTGATAGAGTACGGTGCCTAATTAGTGTGGCAGCTGTTCCCCGTTAGCCAGGCTTTCCTTAGGCGCCTGCACTAATGTTCATGATAGCAGCTAAGGAGAGAAGGGAGGAGGAAATTGCATCTATATTTAATTAATACTGCATCCATATTTTATAACAGAGAGCCCTTAGGTGCAGGAAGATTCTCAGTGAGAACAATTGCTTTGGCGGGCTGAAGCTATTGTATGGTGCTGAGGAGGTGAACTTTGCTTTTGAAAACAACCCCAACTTCCTTGCAGGGTAACCTTGCAGGGAAAGCCCAGAAACCCTCTGCCACTCACCTCTCAGCCTCAGGCCGAAAAGCGAGGGGCAAATTTGCTGATAATTCATATTTGATTAGCTTTAATATCTTCTAATATTGCAAGCAAGAAAGGTTCAGTGGCTGCAGACAAAAACCACACTGATTATTTTTTCCTTTTGATAAGCTTCCAGAACTGGAGAGGTTTCCTTGTCCCTTCTCTGAGCTTACTCCTGTCTTCCAGCTGCATTCCAGCTCGGAGACAGAGCATGTTGTTGCAATGGCCATCCCGTTCTGGTGGCTGGCTGTGCCTGAGGGGGCCC